TACATTTTTCAGGATTCTTTGATGAATAGAAAGTAAAAAAAAACAGCATTTATTTTAAATAGAAATGATTTGTAACATTATAAAAGTCTTTACTGTCAATTTTGATCAGTTACATGCATGTTTGCTGAACGAATGTATTAATTTCTTTCATTAATTCCTATAACTAATTTATTACTTTTATACCTTACATTTGAATAATTTTTTATTACATTTTATCACCTTAATTTCTATAAATAATTCTTTAAATATTACTGACTAATTTTTTACAGTATTATTTTTTATTATTTAATTTATATTTATATATATATATATGTATATATTATTATTATTATTATTATTATTATTATTATGATTATTTATTTATTTTATTTTTTTTACCCTCCTTTTCGAGTTTTGGGTCAAACTAATTTTTTCTTAAATACATGAATACTTTTATTCAGCAAGGATGTATTGAACTGCTTAAAAATGACAGTAAATAATTTTACATTGTTAAAAAAATACATACATACATGCATAAATAAATAAAAACACAACTAAATGGTGGTTTTTAAACTTTCCATCAACTAATCTTATTAGATTATACATTAAATAAGCATCTTATTGGAATGATTTGTGAAGGGACTGCTGAAAATTCAGCATTGCCGTCACAGAAATAAATTAAATTTGAAAATATATTAAAATAGAAAAGAGCTATTTTAAATGGTAAAAGTATTTCACAATATTGCTTTTTTTGCTATATTTTTGATCAAATAAATGCAGCCTTGTTCAATAATAGACATATTTCAAAGACATTAAAAAACATTACCAACCCCAAACTTGTTGGTGGAGTATTATTATTTCTGATAAATTGTGCATAATAGAATCAGGAAGGGCTATTAAAAAATAAAATAGGGTCAATTTATATTTTTATTTTTAATGGTGACTTTAAATCACAATACGATTACTGATCACAGACATAATGTATTATTAATCGTCAGAATGGACGGTGATACTCTCCTATTCATATATGTATAACACTAATTTGCTCATTAAGCTGGTAATTATTAATGTATCGAGGGACAAAATTCCATTTAATTGAATGACACTCCTTACTGCAGCTCGTCCCAATCAAATCTGCCGCGTTATGATGTAAAACAGTATCTTGAGGCTGCTTGAAATTGACTGGCTGATTGTGATGGGAATGAGAATAGAAGAGCTCCCTCAACAGCCTTTAGAAGTTTGGACACATGCAAACGCATCCAAATAGATATTAAAACACAAGCACAAACGTGAGCGGCGAGGGCAAGCGTCTCCCTAAAACTACCATCTCTGATAAGGCTGGAGAGAAGCTCATTACAAGCGATACACGCACTGGCTGATGCTACACACACCGCAGAGGCTTCCCATCAGTTGTAATTATCATTGGTATACCCAGTGCAAGCGCTGGCAAGATCAATCCAATCACGGCACTGCAGCGTGACTGAAATTGAATTGTATCGTTTTTAAATGATCAGACTGATACCAACTGCATCAAGACCGTTTCGGCAAACTGAAAATGCAGAGTTGGGTAAGTAATCTTAACAAAGCCGTTTGGAGTGTGCTGGAATTGTGACTCCGTTTTGTTCCTCCCAAATAATGGAGGCAGTGCCATGTATACATCATAAAGCCAGTGCAGCTCTGTGTTTGTGTTTCAGGAGACTGCACTGCCCTTGAGCCCCGGGTACAGATGATGCTGACACCCACTGTAATGAGAAATAGAAGATGCCATTAATTGCCTGGCATGCGTTGTGAAGCGGTCGAAAAAGCCATCCAATCTCCGGGCAATTCTCAGAGCAATATCTATGCATAAGTAAAGAAAGGAATCATTATTTTTCAATAGTCTTCCCTAATTGCGGCTCTGATCAATACAATTCCACACGGCCGAATGGAACTGCAGAGGACTTCTATGGCTTTATTGCATCACTGCCTGCATTAGTGCTGACCACAGGGGGTTTCTGTGCCAATAGTGTTTGACAAAACATATAATTTGAATCATATTGAGTGCTGTATTGAGGCTGGTTTAGATGGGAAGAGAGATATAATGATGCTATCATCTTGCAATTTGGAATATTTATGATTGAGGCTTAAATTAATCTGTGACTCCTTTCACATTTTCTGTGCTGATTTTAGGGGGAAAAACAAAATGAATTTAAATATGGTAGTAAATGTCAAACAGAAATAAATGGCACAATATAGCATAATAATAAGACAAAATATTTAACAAATGTACATGCAAGGGAATGTATAGCATTTGTGGATGATGAGAATTTCAGCGCTGTTCAAATCTGTTGATAATTTCCAAATATAAAACATTTCAGTAAAATTAACCATGAGTTGGTAACCATAGTAACAGCCATTTTATTAATTAGTTAATGTTAGGTTAATTAGGGCACCATAGGAAGTTTTTTTTTTTAAACCAAACCAAACCAAATCCAAAACTTTTGGTCTTTATATTAGTTATATACACATGCAGTTAAAAAAAAGTAGCACTAATTTGATACCAGTTTTTTTTATCCATATGCTTAGATTCATACAATATTTAATTAATAGAATTTAATGCATGAAACTGAAAAATTACATTTATTTAGCACAATTAGACAACTTCAGCTGTTTACCATACTGTTATTTTTACACATTAAACACACTGAAATGCTTCCTGAGATTTACTATTTAACCCACATAGCAGGTTCTGTATCATCTGTGTTTAATTACTTATCTTCCCTCCAAGCAGGCGCATGCACAGATGCTTTAATGAATTTACTAGTCTGCTGTTGGCGTAAAATAGCGTCAAGCACAATTTAAGATATGGCATTCCTTGTATGAGTATTGTTTTTTTTAACAACATAATATAGTTGTAACACAGTTCGTAGTCACGGGAAGAAGGAGGCAGGAACCGGCAAACATTTAAAGAAAACTTTAATAAAATAAACAAACACAAAATGAAAGTAAAGTGGCAGCCCCTTGCGGATGACTGCCGCACACAAAACACAAAATAAAGTCCAGGCCTGGTCCTCTCTCGTCTTTCACTGTCTTAGCTCTTCCTTTTATCCTTCCGGAGCTCCTCCGTGGGACTCGAGACCGGTGAGTGGTGCAGGTGTCGCTCATTATCAATTACTCCACCGGCCTCGCTCCGTTCCCATGGCTCTCGGCCCCGCCCCCGCAGGTCGGGAGGTACCCCCGAGACTGCGCTTTACTCCCCCCCTCCGAGGGAGCCGATCACGGCGGCCGCAGTGTACCTGGGGGTAAGGACAGACAGACGAGGCGAGAGAAAAGGAGACGGAAGGATGAGGAGAGACAGATACAAGAGAGGGGAGAGAGGAAAAGAAAAAAAATTATTGGTCCGGTTCCCGGACACACTGCCGCTTAGTCCTCAACCGGCTGAGAGGCTCTCACTCGCGGTGCCATGCGATGGTACTGGACAACATTGGTGGATGGCCCACCGCTCCTCCGCCTCCTGGCGGACGGCGATGGCTCCTCCTGTTGAGGACAGCCGGCAGCTCCTCCCCCGTTCCCTGCTCCTCCCCAATCATGGCGGATGGCAGCAGGCTCCGGCCTCCTGGCAAACGGGGCCGACTCCTCCGCTCCCTCTCAGACAGCAGCCACCCCTCCTCGACCCAGGAGCGTGGCAGCGAGCTCTCCGTCCCACATCGTCTTCCATCGTTCCAGCACCACCGCCTCGGGCAGCCACCGGCGGTCTCTCCACCCGATCTCCCGGGTTTCGGCAGCAATGTAACACAGTTTGTAGTCACAGGAAGAAGGAGGCCCAGCAATACAGAGTGTGTATTGTTCTTGAATAATTCTAACAAATTGAGTTAATCAATAATTTAATGACCCTTTCATGAAGATGGTCTTTTGCTTTGTTAATGGATGAATGAGCTGTTTTGAACAAATTGGTTGAATGATTGATTCTATTACTGACGTAAAGCCGTTTATGTAGTTTCATGTAATATCATTTCATTGTATATGCATTCATTCCCACATCTGAGCTGCATAAAAAAAGTCTGTGTAAATACATCTAAATGCCACTTACAGATACAGCTTCTGTGCCACATCTGCAGTGCAAAGAGGAATTTAGTTAACACTGATATCATTTGATTGGTAACAGCCCTACCGTGTTAATTAGTGTAAGTAATTACAAGACGGTCTAGAGTATATAACTTTATTTTTTCATAAATAATTACAAAAGGGGTACCCTTTTATTTGCTTGAGTGCCTGCCCCACACAATGTCTGTTGATGGACCTGCCTCCAATCCTCCATTAGATTTCAGCCATGATAGCAACAGACAGTTAATGCATCAAGCAATGAACACAGGTGTGCTGCAGTTTTCCAGCAGTTTCCCCTAGA